GCCTAGTGCCGCCCGCAGTGCCCACCTAGTGCCGCCCGTAGTGCCCACAGTGCCATCCACGGTGCCTGCCTAGTGCCGCCCGCAGTGCCCACAGTGCCATCCATGGTGCCTGCCTAGTGCCGCCCACAGTGCCTGCCTAGTGCCGCCCGTAGTGCCCATAGTGCCATCCACGGTGCCCGCCTAGTGCCGCCCGCAGTGCCCGCCTAGTGCCGCCCGCAGTGCCGCCCGCAGTGCCGTCCACGGTGCCCGCCTAGTGCCGCCCGTAGTGCCCACAGTGCCATCCACACAGCCCCTCTGCCGCTGGCTGGTGGCCTGTCCCACTTCAGGGGCCTTTCCGTGTCTGGAGGCTCCGTGTGGACCCGGGCGTCCGTGCTCCTGCTGAGAGAGGTTCTGTTTGGTTGACGCTCTGCAGCTCCTGCGCCCCCCACAGCCTCTTCTGTGCGGGTCCCTCGCGGAAGCAGGCTGCCCCCAGAATGTCCCCTTGTCCCAGAAAATGCACGTGTCCTTGCCCTGCCTTGATGACAGGCAAGCGTGGCCCCCAGGGTGGGGTCTCTCACTGGGCTCGAGTGGAGCACCCTCCTCCCCTCACACTCTCCCCGCAGGGCTGCCTACGCCAAGGGCTCCTCTCCCCTTCCAGAACGCTCTGGTTTCTGCTCTTGTCTCTGTATGTTCTGGTTGGTCGAGGGCCAGAGACGAGTTTTCCCCTCATGGGCGCGCAGACAGGACAGCCGCGGCCCCGCGGGGCCCGTCCCCTGCCGTCCTCGGCTGCGTCCCCAAGGCCAAGACCACAGAACAGCCCCTTCCAGGCCCTGCTGCCCCACCGCCGGGCTGCTCAGACCCGCGCTCCCCTGGGGCCGGGCCGCCACAGGCCGTCGCCCTAGAAGGAAACTCCGGCTGCGTGAGCAGGGAGGCCGGCAGCCCGGGGGCAGCGGGCAGGGGGCGCAGCAAGCCCGGTGTCTGGGTGGCGGCGGGGAGCGGGGCTCGGCGCAGGGGCACCGGGCTCGGAGGCGGAAGAGCCTGGCGGATCCCAGGACCAGCGACGGGGCCGAGTGGGGGGACCTGGTGGCCAAGGGCCGAAGCTGGGGGGCACAGGGGTCCGCAGGCCGAGCTACGGGAGCTTCACTGGCCCCGAGTATGCTGGCAAGTCAACGGGTGGGGTGAGGCAGAGGAGGAACGGGTCAGCCTTCTGTGCTGCCGAGGCCGCTCCGACTCCCTCACGAAGGCGCAGCACAGGTCAGTAAGGGGGGGGCAGGGACGCGGGGGGCCGTGTAGGGACCTGGGACTTGCTCTGCGATGGGGGCAAAGGCTCTATTCAAGGAAGCTTCCAGGTCCCCTGACCAGCGCATGCTGTTCCTTGGGCCTGGAATGCGGTCCTGCCTCTGACTGCACTTACTCATCTTCAGGCCCGGCCGACACGTCACCCGCCCGGTCCGGCCCTCCCGGCCGCACCCTCCCCACAGAAACCCCCGCTCCCTGAAGCTCCCACAGCCGCGGAGAAGCGCCTCCCTTGTGCGCTCAGTGCCGGGGGGTGGGGGGGGTAGTCATCTGTTTACTCGGCTGTCTGTCTCCCTGCGTGACGGGCCCCAAGGAGCTCACTGTCTCCTTGCAGACACCACCGGGAGACACACGTGAAAGTGCTAACACAGACGCAGGTCCATGGTTAAGGGCTAAAATTAGGGACGGAGCTGTAGGGGTCACAGCCCAGGGAGTCCCGAGGTGGCCGTGGGGACCGGGACCGTTTCCAGAAGCGTTCTCTTGCTATCCCTGCTCTCTCAGCACCGGGGGTCCGTGGGAATCCAGCCTGGAAATGACAAGTGTTTGCCCCCTTCCGGAACACAACGCGCACACAGTCAGTGAGGGAGGCGCGTCCGCCCCCCCCCCCCCGCCCCCCCCCCCGGGCCCTCCCCGGGTCTGCAACGCAGCCCAGCTCCGTACAGGGCTGTTGAATAAATCAATGGATGAGTGGCCTCGAAGGCCTATCAGAGTCCGTAAACGGGGCAAAGGCAGTACGGTGATGGTTCTAGAAAGAAGCTGGCGGCGGTGCCTGGGTAAGCCTGCTGGGGGGCCAGGGGGCAGCCTCACTCGGCCTCACTGCCTGCCGGTCTCTCCTGACAGGCCTGGGAGCCGTGGGCTGGGGGGCCTCCCCTCACATCCGCTGCGCCAGCCTCCTGCTGGTACCCAAGATGCTGGGCAAAGAGGGCAGGCTCTTTGTGCTGGGGCACGCCTTGGCCGCCATCTATGAGGGTGAGTGTGTGCCCTGGGGACCAGTGTGCGGCACGGAAGCCGTGATCCTGGGGGGCCATCTGGTGAGACCCAGGCCTGGCGAAGGACAGAGTAGGAGGCTGATCCCAGCGCTGTGCGCCCCCGAGAGAGTCCCTCCACATCTCTGGGCCTCCTTAGCTCACACAGGAAAAGGCGGCCGGGAGTTGCATGAGACTCTCCGCGGCTCTGGGCCCCGTCATCACACAGCGCTGGCAGGTGGCCCCTGTGTGCAGGGCAGGAGCTGGGGGGACTTTCTGGAAGCGACCTAGCTGCAGAGGGAGACCCACTGTGGAGTCTTCCGTCCCCCAGGCCCCGCCGCCAACCTGCGGCACAACGTCAACGAGGTGGTGGCCTCGCTGGGCTGCACCGTGGAGCTGCAGATCAACAACACCCGAGCCGCCTGGCGCGTCTCCACGGCCCCCCTGCGCGCCGTGTTCAAGGGCCTGCTGGTGAGGGGCGTGCAGGGGCGGGGCCCGGGCCCTCTCCCCCTGGGAGCTCCCAGACCTGAGCCGGGCGCGGTGACCCTGGACTCTTTCCCAGGGGGACACCCCCGGCATTCTTTGCAGGACTGTCCTCAAACATTGCAGGATGTGCCTTGGGTGCTAAATGCCAGGAAAGCCCCCGCCCCCAGTCATGGGACATGCCCTCCCCCCATCTCCAAACACCTGGGGAGGCGGGACTCTGGGCAGCTGAACCAGAATGTCAGGAAATTGGTGGCCTTGGCCTGGAGGAGTCAGGAAGCCTGCGGAAAGGGGCTGTGGAGGACTGGGGGGAGGGGGGAGAGGGAGGAGGGGAGGAGTTGGGGACGCTGGGGACTGGGGACATTGAGATGGCAGAGTGGTCTGGGAGGTTAGCATGAAGGGTGAAGTCCAAGGGCCTGGGGAACGTCTGTCACTGGTGAGGGTCTGAGACGGTGGCCTGGGGAGAAGCTGGGAGCCGGAAGCGGGCAGCATGGAGGTGACCGGCGGGGGTGTCCCCAGGACCCAACGGTGAAACACAGGGTGAGGGGCTCTCTCAGGGCCTGGGCTCATCGAGGGCCCAAGGGAGGAGCCTGGAACTCGGCCACGGGGGTCACGGCTCCTTCCTTGCCCTCCCATCCAGGGCAGCAAAGCGTCACTGAAAGCTGAGACTCAGAACATCTCCAAGTCCTTCGGGGACCTGGACGCCCAGGTGAACAGTGACATGGGCTACAGTCCCGAGGATGCCGGGGGCTCAGAGGGGACGGCCCGAGGTGCCCCGCCCTCCGGGCGCCGCCTGTCTACACAGAAGATGTTTGAGCTGAAGACCAGGCTGCGTTGTTCCTGTGAGAGGCGTGGGGGGCGCGGGGCGGGCGGGGCGGGGTGAGGCGCGGCGGCCTCAGGCACCCTGGCCCCTTCCCCAGACGTGGTGGACCAGGCCATGCTCAGCTGCCGCCGCTGGTTCGACCGAAAGCATGAGCAGTGCATGGAGCGCATCTGGGTCCCGCTGCTGAACCACCTGCTCTGCCTGCCCATGAAGTTCAAGTTCTTCTGCAGCATCGCCAGGGGTCAGCACAGTGAGGGGAGGGACACCGGAACCCAGCCTCCCCCACTGGCGGGATGACCCCGCTTACGTGCATAGGAGGCTCTGAGTGCCTCCTCTTCGTCGGAAAGACGGATATAATAAGAGCACTTATCCCATTAGGGGTTTCTGGGGATTTAAGGGGCGGTATTTGTGAAGCTTGTAAGCAGCGGCCGCCCAGCGGTTCTAGGTGTTGGCTGTCGTTATTCATAGTGGGCCTGGTTATCAACAGGTGAGAAAAACGGGGGGCAGTGAGGCCTTGTTCCCGCCAAGGCGACTCCAGGAGAGCCGGGAGGGAGACACTGTGGGCAGAGACAGGCAGGCTGCAGGGCGGCAGCGGCAGCGGGGAGGCCCCTGACCCGCCGCCGCCCTGCCCTGCAGCGATGGGGGTCTGGTGCCGCAGTCGCATCCCGGTGGAAGGCAACTTCGGGCAGACCTACGAGTCCCTCAACCAGTCTGTTCGTGAGCTGGATGGGGAATTTTCAGCCACTATTGACCTCAGGGTAGGAGGCGGGGGTTGCGGGCCGGGGGGGAGGCAGGGAGGGGGAGAGGACACGCGGGCGGGTGTCCGGGCTGGGCGAGGGGTGGGAGGGGAGGGCGGCAGCTCCCAGCTCACGCGGGTGCAGGGGCGCAGCACCCGGTCCACAGGGGTGGGGGGGCGTGCGGCAGGAGGGTCCTGGGGCCCTGGGGTGGGCCCGGGGCAGTGGTGGCCCCAAGCGCTGCATCTGTGCGCCCCCCGCCCCCCCAGGAGGAGAAGCAGGCGGCGGTGCTGGGCGTCAACACGAGCCGGGAGCGTGTGAGCACCGCGCTGCGCGAGCACGTCCGCCGCCAGGAGGCCCAGCTGCTGCGGGGGCTGCGGCTGCTGCGCCTGCTCTTCTCCTGCACCTTCCTGCTCGTGCTGCGCGCGTGAGCCCCGCGCCGGCTCGGCGGGGCGGGGGGGGGCTCGGGGGCCG